TTACCAATCTTTAGAATCTGTCTTTAGTGAAGCTACAGCAGAGTCTATAAACTATTGGAGAAAACCAGCTGAAAAGCCATGCCTATAGAGCTAAATTCCAAGCCAATAATAGGACAAAAATTCCCAAGAGCTCAGGACTAGATCTAGCATTATTTCATAATTTTATCATTAACTACAACAATGAAATTGAAGATAGTTTGCAGAAGTCTTTTGCAGCTTCGGCAAGGGTTCTGCCCTCATTATAATCTACAGAAGGCCCTTGACCTTTATATTTTAATTACAGGCATCATATTTAACTTAAGAACCTAAGTTAGAAATTTCAAAATCCTCTTCAACTCATTCTTTACCCCTCCTATATCAAACCTCTATCAAGTCTATCAAATCTACCTTTAAAAATTTCCTTTGAATCCATACCAACTTCTTCATCCTTACAAAAACTAACTTACCTCCTTACCATTTCTAATCTGTAAAAGTGCAGCAGACTCCTAACTACATTCCTTTCCTTTCAGTCTGGTTCCCCTTGATTCTATCTCCCTACTGTTCTAGAATTCTATAGCAGCGATCTAATCAAGTTAGTGTTCTGCTTTATTAATATCTGCTGGTGGTTTTTCATCGGCCATTTCTAAGGGAAGCTCTCAAGGCTCTTTCACAGTGGGGTCCTCAACTCATCTGACCAGTCTCGTGGCCTGCTACCTCCTTCCAAACAAACTTTACACCATCAAACTCTTCACAATTCCCCAAATGTGCCATGCTTCGCACATGCGGTTTGGGCTGTTGGGATGTCTTTCCAATTCTCTTTCCAACTGGTGATCATTTACTCTGCCTTCTACATGCAGTTCAAATGCCATGTCCTCTATGAAGTCTGCAAGAGCCATCACAGAGTTCATTTACTCACTGCCTTGCAATCCAATGGAGCTCAGTACCCACCTCTGCTTCAGCCTGGTCTACACAGCATTTTAATAACCTGTGTGCATTCTGTCTCTTCTCTATACTGAACATCTTGTAGAAAAAAAAGTATTTTATCATTTGTGTTTTGTTCAAACATTAAATAATGTTTAAACACGGCATTTAGTAGGTACCTACTTGATCAATTTGTAGGATGAATATAGTCTAAGACAACACATTTCCAAAATTAAACAAATGGAGGTTCAAACTGTTAAGTAATATATCCAGATATGGACTTAACATTTACAGAAGATATAGGTGGAGAATTATTACTAAAAGAAGGCTCAGTGAACATAATTTCAGTTATTTAATGAGATGCACAAAAGATAATACTACTGAATTTTTCTTCCATCACAGAAAATATATCCCCTGGTTCTCAATGTTTATAAACCTCTAAAACTGATCAATTCTATCACATTTTCCCAAACTTCTATGTTATTTCTCCTGACACTTCAAAACTAGTGCCTACTTCCCAAGAGGGTCTCCAACCTCAGGTTCCCTTTGAACGTGCTTAACTGATTCTCTTCACCCTCGACAACTTGTTTTATTGATTCACTTCTCTGACCTACCGTCTCCGTCAACTTTTTTTGGTACCATTCTCAACTTCCATCATTATGAATGACCTACATTTTTTCGGATTTCCATTCTCTAGCTTCATTTTCACAGATATATCTGTATCAGTGATCCAATGCCACTTAAAATTTTAAATTAACATAGACGTATATATTTTCCTTATGTATCAAGTTTTCCTAATTTTCCTACTTGAAGGGCTCTACTAACTTTATGATCTAATAATCTTACAATCTCATGATTATTTTTGATCTCTCTCAAAGAGAGGTAACAAGACCCTGTGGGCTTCACAAATATCATGGAATATCATGGGTCAGGCCTATTATTCCCACTCTCACATTTGCCACCTATCAATTTCCAAACTCAATATGGAACTTCCTCACCTGATTATCTCACTAAAGACCTACAAAATAACACCGTAAAAAGCCCCTTGCCTCTCAGTTTCTCCTTTCGGATCTCTCCTTGGCAAGTGCTATCTGCTCTCCTCATCTCCGATTTCATCCCAGCTTGGATTCTCTGTCTTACCAAGCACATGACTGCTCACTCCCACCTCTAAGCCTGCACACATGCCATTCCTTCTGGATGGAATGCCCTCTCTCTTGCTCTCTTCTGCTAAGCCTCTTTATTCTCTGCCTCTTTAAGATACATGACCTTAATGCAGCCTGCCTCGAATAATCCAACTCCAATCCCATTCATTCTATTTTTTTTCAGCATCCTTTCCAGGTTATATATTAGCATCTCTCTAGCCCTGCTAATTTGTATTCCTGCTAATTTTTCATTTTCACTTGAATTTGTATTTATGATGTCAATTGTTTTTGTTTTGTTTTTATTTAAATTCAATCAGCCAACATATAGTAAATCATTAGTTATAGATGTAGAGTTCAATAATTCATCAGTTGCATATAACACCCAGTGCTCATTACATCACGTGCCCTCCTTAATACCCCTCACCCAGTTACCCCATCCCCCCACCCATCTCCCCTCCAGCAACCCTCAGTTTGTTTCCTACAGTTAAGAGTCTCTCATGGTTTTTCTCCCTCTCTGATGACTTCCCATTCAATTTTCCTTCCCTTCCCTTATGATCCTCTACGCTGTTTCTTATATTCCACAAATGAGTGAAACCATATAATTGTCTTTCTTTGATTGACTTACTTCACTCAGCGTAATACCCTCCATCTCCATCCACATCCATGTACAACTATGGTTTCTATTTCCATATGTTCTCTTGCCTCTAAAACCATCCACCCTGTGTACCCACTGGGCATTATTGCCTGCTGGGGAAAAAACGAACTACAATTTCAATAGGAGAGATTAAACAGAAGGACCATAAAGTAGATGGAAATTTTCTATTTCTGGAGAATACAATGGGCTTCTATCTGTTTTAGATGGTTTCCTTGGATGACAATGATTCGGATACAGAGATAATGTCCTAACTGTGATAATAATCACATTTGGTTTTCTTTCACCTTTTCAGTTTTTTTCCTGACCTTTTCATATCAGGTTCAGGCTCACTCCCCTGCTCTATCACTACATCTTCTCCCTCTTTCCCAGGAAACCCCACTTAGGTGCCTAGCCAGTTTGAGGGATCAGACTGGACAGAACCTCATGGAAGCATGTGCCAGTAACTTCCTCCATTTTCTATCCCCTAGGGAGAGAATAAATTGTTGTACCCCGGGATCCCCTTCCTCTTTTCCAACCTGAAGAGATATTCCCACTCAAAGAACCCTGTCAACCCTCCTCAGGAAATTTTAGGTACATTTTGCACCATCTGAACATCTAAACATCTCAATTCCTCCTTTGCAGGCACATATCCAAAAATCTCTACTTAGAGTCCTACAGCTCTCTCCTCACGCACCAGCAAGGAGATGCTGGAAACCACACATTTGAGGGGTTTGTTTTGTTTTGTTTTATCTCTTTAAAAATGACAGTACTGCTTGGTTTGGACTGAGAATAATCAGTGCCATTGCTCTTTCACTTTTTGTTGGGGGTGGGGGTAGGGAAAGACGTTGGAGTGGTTTTATTTCATCCTCTCCATTATCAAGCAGATATAAATTCCTCTTGAGCGTCCCGAACCGCACCGCACCCCCCCCTTCTTGTTTCTCCTCAGACTTCTCCCCCAAGCAGAAGATGGGACCAAGCCCTCTTGGAATTGTGAATGGAAGGAGGCAGCACAAGGGTTTCCTTTACCCTTGCACTCCCCAGCCTCAAGCCGGGGCTCATGATCACTCGCTGCTGCAATGCCTGGGTGGTTCAATTAGAACTGTCCGCATTTTCAGGGTTCTGGGTTCCCCTCTTTTGGGTCCCCAGCCCACTGTGCCCTGAGGCCGGCAGTGAGTTCTGATACCCTGTTTCTCTCCATTTCCCAACCTCTCTGTGCCCCTGGGGCTCCTGCAACCTGGCCTGCCCACCCCGACTCGCCTGCTGTCTCCCTCCCTCACCCTACACGGGGCAGGTCTCGCTTACACGCCCGCCTGCCCAGAAGGAGCTAGCGTGCCCGGCGGCCGCGGCGCGCTTGGTTCCGCGCCAACAAACTTCTTCGGGACCCCGCAGCGCCCCAGCGGGCTGCGCTGCGCCGCGCCGCCTCCCTGCTCACGGCCGCCGTGGCGTCGGCGCCGGCGCGCTGACGGCGGCGGCGGCTGGATCTCGCAGCCCAGGCGGCGGAGGCGGGGGCCGCGTTCTCCGAGCGCCGGGACCGGGGCGTCCCCGCGGCGGCGGCGGCGGCGGCGGCGGCTGCAGGGACGGCGGGGACGGCGGCTGCGCTCGGTGGGGCGCGCTGCGCAGGCTGCAGGGTAATTAAGGAGCCACACCGGCCGCCGCGAGACTAGCCGGGGCTGGGGGAGGCCGGGATGCCCGCCCGCGCGGTGCTGCGGAGCAGCGCTTGGGAGAAATACCCGCGTGTCGGAATAAGTAACCCCCGACCCGAGAGCGAGGCGCCGGCACCTCGCGTCTTCCAGTTTATACCCCTTAACTGTCTCCTCGCTTCCAATGGGTAACGTCTCTAGATGTAGACCAAAAATAACGATCTAACGGCATGCATTTATATTGAGTTTATTTGTTCTGTGCATTTAACCCCATGGATATTTTTTTTCTTCTGTATTTGATGTCTGTTCTCACCCGCATCAGCAGTGCTCATAGCTCTCCTTGACAAACACACGTAGCCAGAAAAACCACCTAGAACTAAAGTATAAGGCATAAAGCCTGCATTACGTGAACATCTGAACACGAACTACATTCTGTGTAGCATATTAAAGTGGCCATATCGTGCCAAACGTTCTTGGTCCCATCATTAAGCTACCTATGGGAATGCGTAATTGCAGGTGTGCATTATTTATCTACCAAAACATATTTACCTGTAAAGCACAGTTTTTACATTTTCTTGAAAAGCAGATGCACGCAAATGACCAGCAACATGAGCAGATGACATAGACCCGGCATGTGTGCGGCCCGGCAAGTGAAAGGGCCGGCGGCAAAGCTGCGCAGCTTACCTTGAATGTGTGTTTGAGCCCCTCAGAGGCGCAGTGGAGTCCGGCCCGGGCTGCCGCACCGCCGAGGAGTGGCCCGAGTGAGCTCCCTGCGAGTGGGGAAGGGGGACGCATCTCTGCCCTTATTAGTCTCTCGCAGTGTGACCCTCCCACTCGACGAGGACGGAGGACTCCGCAAGACAGGACTCCGCCAACTCGTGCACAGGTTTTCCTTAATTACAACAATGTCGCCTTGCAGCTAGGAATACTGCCTTTCAGGCTTATGTTTTATTAGCACTTTCACAGATAGAATGACTGTTGGTTGCAGGTGCTAGAGTTTCTCACTTTGATTATGAAGTGTCTTCCAAGTATTTGTATGTGGCACACATTCACAGGTAGATAATTGGCTTTTTAACAGTTGAGCTAAGAAGGGGTATCATTTATGTTTCATTTTTCACTTTTATGTCAGGAGTTTATATAAAGTTAATCAAGAGAGTCTTCCCGCCTTCTGATGTTCATGTGTACAGGTTTGTGTGGCATGATTTGTCTCAGAGTACACAAAATTATTTTGTGATTTTAAGTATTATGTCTTTCCATGGATTGGTGCTACAAATCCTGGGTTTTGAACTCTGGGAATCCCTTTGAACATGTGAAGATAACATTTTTCTGCAGATCTCCGTGTAGGTATTTGTGTGTGTGCGTGCATGTGTATACACGTGTGTATACATACATGCACACACACATATAGTGGGTATATATGTATATTTGTAGGCATATATACATATTGTGTGTGTGTATATATATGTACATACGTATATACACCCACGCACATTTACATATATTTGAAAGAAAAACAAAACCATTATAGAATTCAGAAAAATAATCAGACATTAGAAAATGGATAAATTGGTTTAATGTTCTGTAGTTCAGTATTGCCATAGTTGGGGAAATATTATAAATTATGTTACTGATCCATAATAATGAAAATCAGTAAGTTTAAAAGTTACCTTAAACCAGAGAAATATGCTTCACGTGTCAGGGCTCACAGATCAGATCATAAATAAAATTAGGCTGGCAAAAACTAAAAATGTTAAGAAAAAATTTAAGAGATCACTCATTTCCACTTCATTTAAGTGAAACTGTTAGAGTCAACTAGTGGTTTTTAAACCTTTCATTGTGATCAAAATACCTGCAGTTTTAGTCTTGCATCCATAGCGATGCGAACCATGTTTATATGTCAGAATTTAAAACCTCTTGATGTGTTTCCTTCATGTGTGATTTTCATCACTAATTTTTGGTTGACTGTGGAAAGACGCCAAAGAGGGAGGATATCACATGAGTCATGCTGCTCAAATGGCCATCTGAAAACCATGATTCACAAACCTTCATCAGAATTTTGGTGATCATTCTCTAATTTTTTTAAAAGTGTTACCCTTATTTGAACCTCGTTTTTCTCTTTCTAAGCAATTGTACTTTACATTATACTTGTTAGTGAACTGAAATAAGAGCATCCAGGCTTTATTTCTCTGATAGACTATTATATTCACCTTATTTACATTTAATTGGTACTATTTAAAGTAAGGCTTTAAAACTACTTACGAGAAAGCCTGAAATTTTGCCTCTAATTTGTGTTTTAATACAAGTAAATCAACCGTATTTTAGTGTTATTTTTGCAAACATTTTAATAATTTCATAATCTTTAAGATTTTTTTGAAATAACCATTGTTATATTTTTGCAATAACCACTGTTACATTTTTGCTTTAATCTCAAATTGCTCTTTTCCCTACTCACAGCATTGAACTAAACAAGAGTTTGGAAGAAAGTGAGAAATGATTAAAAATAAAGATTATTATTATCTGTGGCTTACTCTGCACCAACAATCCTAGGTCAATAAATGTTCCTGGTTTTTCTTCCAGGAAAGGGTTCAAATTTGGACTGGTTTCATAATTAGAAACTATGATAGCCCTCGGGTTGGGCCCTTTAGGCCAGTTCTTTTCATTGAATTTTAAAGTGACTTCAAATAGAAACAGCCCCTAACTGAGCACCTTTTATTTATACAACCCAAATACAATTATAAATGATCAGTTTTTCCACTTGCTTCTGAAGCTACTGCTGGTGAACGCACATCTGAAAATAATAGGAGATCTGACAGGACTTTGAATTCTGGCAAACAGCTTGCAGGCCTTCTAATGCCCAGTTTAGCTGTCTGCATGTGTGACTTTAAAAAATTAAAAAGATCTCAAAAGCAAACTGCTTTCAACATTTATGCGCCATGGAAGACAGGTTTAACTATTTTTATGCCATACGAGGAATACATTCCTTTTAGTACATTAAAAAACTGTTCCGTATTTGTAAAGCCCCACTTATATAAATGATATAAAAGGAACAGTGCACCCAATTTTGATAATTGCCCCATAATAAATTTAAAGAATGTATTTTTTTTCCTGAGCTTCACTTCTCAATCTCCTGGGTTAATACAGCTATTTGTTTTTCTTTTTCTTTTTTCTGTACCTCTGTACTCCCAGCCATGTTACTTTGCCCTTTCTCTTTTGTGATTTCTTTCACTTTTCTCCTCCCTCATAGTTTCCTTTTCCCAAGAGGAAAGAATTTCAGCATTGCCCCCAGCTAACTTCTTAGTTACCAAACTATAAGAGTGTTCATTCTCTATTGAGTTGATGGGGCACAGCCATACGTGACTCCCATACATACCCCATGGAAATACTTCAATGCATCAATAGTCGCTGAACAGACGGTACTGTTAGCTGTAATTACCAAATCTGACTTGTCATCGCTAGCATGCACTTCCCATTCTTTCCTTTTTAGACCAGTACTACACATAATATTCTTAAGGGTAAACAGAAAGCCAGCGTATCAGGTCTAATTTTTTAGTAATCATCAAAAGTAAGGGCATTTAAAATTTGTAAAGGCTATTTTTACCATTGTTTCTGAAAATAATTCTCTTCACAGAGCAAATAATATTCCACTGGTGGTTGTTATGTTTGCTTCCATTCCTGGAAGACATTCTAGCTCCTCTCTTTGACTCAGCTTAGAAATGAGAGAGGAAGAGGTGATCATAGATCTGACATTCACTTAGTTCGTTAGACTTACTTCCTAGGGATCGGTGACCCTGAAAGGAAATATGGTAAAAGACAAATGCCTGACTGGGGAAAATGTTTATTAATACACATCCAGCTCTCAAAAAAATTAAAAAAAAAAAATGAAGATAGATAAACATCCCAATAGAAAAATAGGCAAATATGTGCAAAGGCCATTCACAAAGGAAATACAAATGGTCAATAAATGCATGAAAAATTTCAATTAAATTAGTTGGATTAAATTAGTATTCAAAGAAGTTAATTTCTAAAGGAATGATTTTGTCCCCTACCCATTTGCCAGGATTAATATTAGTGATTATATTCAGTGTTGGCATAAATGAGGAGCGTCCTCACACTTACAGAGGAACACAGAATAGTTGTCTTTCTGAAGAGCATATTTGCCACATTTATTTAAAGCTCTCAAAACTGCTCTAAAACCATTAACTGTGGTTATTTCTGAGTTATGATTATGGGAGGTTTTGATTTCTTCTTTTTGATTATGATAATATAAAGTTTCTACAGTGAATATGTATTATTGTTGTAATAAAAATGTAACAAACAAAAACTAGTGTGGTATTTTTTTATATCTCCAAGAAATTAATAAAGCAGTGGTGGTAAGAGAGCCTAGAAATTTGCCTCTCAAGTCCTCTTCAATCATTTCCAGCAGGAATCTTCAGGTAAAAATTAGTATAACTTGAAACATTTAAACTTATTCTAGTGATTTCTCTAGGAAGCAGATGTTAAACCGTTCATTCAACACAGTTTTAAATGCCTCTTAAATCTTTAAAAAAACAAACAAACAAAAAAAAAGAAACGGGCGCCTGGGTGGCTCAGTCGTTAAGTGTCTGCCTTCGGCTCAGGTCATGATCCCAGGGTCCTGGAATCGAGTCCCACATCGGGCTTCCTGCTCGGCAGGAAGCCTGCTTCTCCCTGTCCCACTCCCCCTGCTTGTGTTCCTGCTCTCGCTCTCTCTCTTTGTGTCAAATAAATAAATAAAAGCTTTTAAAAAAAAATAAATGCTTCTTAAGCTGAGCACTGTAGAGTATACAAAGATAGGTTGCACGTGGGCCCCACCTCCTGGAGTTTAACATTTAGTAAGAATGAGAAGACAGTATACACATACATAATGAAATTATGAAGTGAAAATACAAAGTACGATAAAGTAGATATAAGATACTGGGAACGTTCAAAGGAGGGGGGGAAACTATTAATACGTAGAAGCATGAGGGTCAAAAACTTCCGGTGAGCAAAAATATATCTGTTGTTTTGTCAGTCTAAATAAATCTACTTAAAAATCATCATAGAATCATAGTACTAGAAGGGGCACTGTAACTAAATAATTATTTGTGAAATGATGAATTTACTGGTTCTATAATAAATACTTGTTGAAAGAATCAACAGAGGGGAGAAGAAAAACTAAGAATCCCCAGAGAACAAACCCACTTCTCTCCCTATTCGGATGAGGAAAATGAAGTTCCTTTCCTACTGAGCTAAATCCTTTCCTGGGAATTCCAGGCCTGAAACAGTGTAACCTCAGTCTGCTCCCCTCAGACCCCTTAGATGCACAGGAGATCACAACCAGATTAATCGCCGGTAACCACAGAATGAACATGCCCAGCGCTTTCTCCATGCTCTTACTCATGCTGCCTCCAGCTGAACCTCAAGGTAGCGAGTGAAATTCTGCCAATCATCCAAGGCTTATTTCAGGTGTTCTCTAATGTCACCAAACTCTCCCCCACCTCGAGACCGCAAAGCAGTCACTTTCTAATGACAATCTATTTTCCATTAGCTTGTTTTACACACATTTCTGTATTTGGCCCTCTGACATGATTGTAAACTCCTCGAGGACTAGAATGGAGTCTTCTCCTTTTTTTAATAATACCAAGAGCACCTAGTACAATAAATTGTTTTTTCTTAATATAATCTTCAAATATTTGTTGAAATGAGGCCTGCAGAGGTTAAGTAACTGAGGACATACAATTTTCTAATTACAAAGCATAGACTGAAT